CGCCGAACTGGTCCTTTTTTTCCAGAATTTGCCTGTTTCCTATGTATTGAATTATAGCATTTCATAATTATTTGAGTATTGTAGTCTCCATACCCACAGAACTTAGGTAGATGGTTGCTATACCCACTCACTCCAATAATTTTCTCATGACTTATTGTACTGTAATCTCCTAATTCCTTAAAGTTTGGCTGTTCTCTCACATTCTCTATACTTCAACCAATGGTACCTTACACCTAACTCCATAACACATGGTTCAGTGCTTTACTCAATCACATGTTTCAATAAAGAGAAAAATTTGAGTACTTGTCTGGATGTGTATAATGAGCCAGATGAGCAAGCACCAGATTTAGAGGTGAGAGCTAGCTTTGACAGTCAGCTTATCCACCATTGATGGTCTCCTGATTACTATCACCGGAAGTAACTGATTACCAACAGCTAGGAAGTTGTTTGATTGAAACATAAATAACTGAAAGAAAGTAGAGTTCCTTGCTTTCCGAGCTATCGGTCGATTTTCTGAGGCAAAAATAATCTGATGTTTCGCGAAAATCACTACTCGATTTAGTCAAATAGGAGAAATTCTACAGAGCATACCATACCACCCTCGTTGGATTATTTTACGTCCAGTTAACTCTGTGTATAAATTCTCCATATGCAGTGAGAAAGTTGATAATGCCAGATGTTCTTGTACCTCCAGCAGGAGCTCTGCATACCCAAATGCTATAAGACCGTTATTGAGCTTAGATCATCTCGAGAGTTGACTAAACCCTGGGAGCATCAGCACAGGATGGGTCCATAAATGACAACTGTCACCATTACTAGAACTCAGGCTAAAAGGCCCAATACCATTAAAACAACGATGACTATTGTGGCAGCCCAAATGAGCTTGTCAGTTCATGGACTTTCTCCATCACTGACAAGATCAGAATTTGCCATCAATGAGGTGCCAACAATGTCAAATGCTGTGCTTACCATCATACCAAAGGCAAAGAAGCATTTACCTTGACAGTGGTTGAGGAACCACTACCAAAGTGGTCCTGAGAGCAACTCCAGAGGCAGTTGGGAGTGGAACTCCCAATGAAACCACCAAAGATAATCATGATCCACAACACACTAAAGCAAATCACAACTACAAGAGATAGCTGCTAGATGGACCAAGAGTTGGGCACTCTACAACAGCTAGAAGGGTTGACTGTGACCTATGGCTCCATCGTGGCTGAAGGAGGCATACCACTTGAGGTCCGAGCTGGTGGATACCAAGTAAACCATAGCTACAGCCTGAAACATGGTAAGGATTACTACAACAGCCAATTGAAAAACAACTGTTGTACTTGAGGATCTTAGTGGCAGGGTTATGGACTAACACTTCATGCTTGCCTCGGGTAAGTGATGTATTTTTTTATTAGTTTAAATGTGGATGTCGTGTATACCCTTTTGTATTATTTATTTCAGTGCATACTGTATAAATTTATAATTATTTCTACATGTTTTTAAATACTTTTTGCTTGTTTTGTTATAGATTAATTTCCCACCGCTAACTCTTGGGCTACTCTTTTACCAACGAATAGTGGGTTTAATCGTCACATTATAATGCCCATGGCTGAAAGGTCGAGCATGTTTGGTGGGACGGGAATTCTAACCCGCGACTCTCAGATTGCGACTCAAGCACCCTAACCACCTGGCCACATCTTCAATATAATTCTATTCACAAATTCAACATCTAACCTTCGAATATCCATTTTCATCCAATTTTATGGTTTTATCCCATGGAAACACATTACTCATCCACGAAAAGCAATAAATGACAGCAAAACAAAATAAAAAAAAGGTGTTGATGCATTATATTGTTTCGTATTTCATGGTGATGTGATTGAGGTGTTTAAGGTA